ATGGTCATAATTTTGTGTAGAGAAATGCCATACCACAGGAGAAAGCAACACAACAGACTGCTTCTTCTGTTCCAGTATAAATATCTATGAAAGATGGTTCACATATTGTAAACTATGTCTGTTTATTTGCCATCGCTTTCCAAACACATTTGTGTCATGGCAGCTGTTGTTGTATTAGTGGTATTTTTATGTCTTTTTCTTTTCTCCTTCTTGTGTCCTGCTCTGCTGTGGGTGTTTCATCCTTCTGACTGCTGCCGTCTCACCTGCTCTGCTTCCATCAAACACCTGAAGCTGATCCATAAACCTCCTTCCACAGTATAAAAGCACCAGCTCTTCAATCACTCTGCACCAGATTATCTTTCTGCTTCTTGTAGTCAAGCTTTCCAGCCATTTCCAAGTTTGCTCTGCTTGTGTTTACATGTTTTAGATATAAATCCCCTGTATGATCTGGGATATTGACCTCAGCCTCATCTCTGTTACAAATTTGTTTGCTAGTGTTTTCTGGTTTGGTTAACTCCTTTTGTATGACTTTTGCCAGCTCTTTTTTAAGACATTTGCCTGCATATTAAATGTTTGGATGTGGGTTGTTCATAGTTTTTGCCTTTTGCCTGCTTCCTTAGTTGGATTTGTTGCCACACAGACTGATCATCTGTGTGATACCTTTGGCTCACTGAATAAAGACTTTTGACTTTGGTTTTCTGTGTCCAGCTTTTGGGTCAAACTAAACACCAGGATAAGTTATGATTTAATTAACACAAATTTTCAATTCATGGAGGCAGAGAGCAGACTTTTTAAATATTGGCCAGAGCACTCTGATGAGGAGATTTCAATTTTGAAATATTGTAATGTTAACATGTGATTGTCATGCAGATTATTATTATTATTACTTATTTTGTTGGCAGATAATCAGGTCGTCGTACTCTCTAATGCACTTAATATTCGGATAAGACTTTATTCATTGCACAGTGGGGAAAAGTGGTACAGCAGCAAAGTGGAAAGTGCAAATTGTAGAGAACATCATTAGAAAAGAGAAACTACCAAAAATATACAGAAGTACTGATTCTTTCATGTGTAGATATTCAGATGCACAGAAAAAAAATCTCCAAATGTGAAATATGACATTGCACATATCAGTGGTATAGCACATATTCCTCCATAAGTAGAAATATTGATGGAAAAAAATACTGATATTGCACATATTCTTGTATATGTAAAAAAAAAAATGATATTGTACACGGAGTTTTTAATGACTGAAATATGTCAGTTTCTCCATGTTTGGTTCATTTAGAGGTTGTGATATTAACAGTTAAAACTGCCAGATGTGTACAGATGGAGGGGGAAAAAAAGGTTTAACATATTACATCAACTGTCAGTAAACACTTAAACATCATAAAACACAAACAAATACAACAGAGGGACATGAAAATGTTTAATGACGTTTGGTCAAATGAAGTCTGCGACATGTGATGGAATGAACCATGTAGCCTGGCCAGAGGGGGGTGTGCACCGCTCACTGTTTAACTCTGGGAGAAACGGTGAGTATGAAAAAGGAATATCTTGTTCCATATTACAATGACAAGCAGTTTGAATGATGATACCATTAGAAAACAG